TAAAAATAGACATTTATACACCATTCGATAGACAATTTCAAGAGCTACATTTTGCACTATTTATATTTGAAAAAAGGATTATTTCGATTTTCCGCCTAATTTCCGCCTATATGCCCACTGTGTCACACCTCCATCATGTGCTGTCACGGTACCGTTATTATTATTGGTACCTGGAGCATCATGATAATATGGTACAAATGCTATTAATTCACTTTGCAGTTGCGTCACTGTTCAAATGATGAACTTTTAAAGTTGTTTCTGCAGACATTGAATGTGAATTTCCCGCCTAGCGTTCAAACAGCTATTTATATAGCGCTTGTTAATTTTGTACTTATTTCCCTTATGCATCATTTATTTCTTATTAGCCTTCGTAATTGTTTTTTGTTTAGAATATTTAATTTTAGTTGAAAATATGCTTATATATGTGTGAACAAAAAAGAAACAAAATATTCATATATTAGTGGAATATATAAAAAGTTACTAAATCAAATGTCACTATGAACTTGAACAAGTAGTTATAAACAAGCCAGGTTCAGGTTTCGAATCAATTACAAATTATGGAATATATTCAATAGAAAGCACATATTCTTAGTTATTTCCAGCATATTTAATGTGCCGTATCATTAACTACCGGCCTGTTTTTCTCATCGCCCTCATAATCTCCAATTGCATCATTTACAGAATCAAAGGTATTATTATGTTCAAATATTTCCGTAATATCTTCCCTGATCTATGCATGCATGGATGTGTGTCTATTACCGCATTTTTTCGCTTGTATAATCCGCACCATGACATTAAGATCTCACAGGAAAATTAGCCATTGCAACTTTGTTATTGAAGAGCTATGGACGATGAGGAGATTAATCTTTATGTATCGACACATTACATGACAAATCTTCAAGAACAATCATCATTGTCCTTTCAAATAAAATTAGCAGAATCTTGGTCAACATTATCACAATGGCTAAATTTATCACGGTATACTTCAGCTTTAACACTTCAAATAATTGATCAAGATATTTTCCAACTGGCATTACGTAATGAAGATGGTTGGAATATTTATCAGTATTCACCTAAAAATGGGCAATGTTAAGAACTTCTAAAATTAAACTGTACATATAATGGTTTACAAACTTGGAAAATACCTAGTTTAAATAAAGTAATTTTTATTGATAGAACCCAAGAAGGATTCTTAAATCAACGAATGAATGATTAGTAAATCAAGCGAAATGGTAATTAAAAGAAAATCATTTTGAATTTTCAGATATTACAGGTACTGGAAAAACACATATTATTCATCATGATTATAATGGACTTGCCATTTAAATTTTTCAAAAAACTGACCAAGGCTTACGCCCTCAATTATTAAAGGTACCCCTCCCCTCTTTTTGGACTTTCCGTAGAAATGCTGTAAAATAAAAACTAAACGTCGCTAGGGCTTCGCATTTTCAGAACTGATTGGAAACTCAATAGAGCACTTTTTCGTTCTTGTTTCAAGTTTTCAAGTGTTGCCGTTCACCAGTTTTTCAGAAAACTCGGTTTTTCATTGTGCCACATTACGACCCCCCCCCGTTAAATTTCATCCGATCGCTTTCAAATTTTACCAGAGTTACTCAAGGTCATTCCGCAGAGCTAATATTTCGGAAATTTTTCTCAGACCTTTCCTGGTCGAGTAATAGAAAAAATACTGGAAAACGTCTGAAAAACCAAGTTTTTCAATTTTGGAAACCCTATAACTCGGTAAACAAAAGTCTAAAATAA